AATTGTAAATTTACTTTACTAGTAGTTTTATTAGAGATAACCATAGTATTTAAGCGAAGGATTTCATGAGCAATTTGGGTGTTGCGCGGGCATTTACTGTTGAGCTCTAAGTTGCCTTGATGCTCTCAAGCTTGCTTGGGAGATGGGCTTAAAAAAGCTCATTATGGAAGTCAGATTCCCTTCGTGTTGAATATTTTAGTTGAAATCTTACCAAATTCGACTCCTACCACTCTAATATGATGAAATAGACTAGTTACTTACTAAGTCGTAGATGAAATATTTAAATTTATTATATTCACTACGAGAGTAATTCGTGCACAAATTGATTAACGAATTGGGTGCATTATGTCAATCTTGGCTATTTGAGGCTTCTCCTAATTTCCATGTCCATCCGCATGTATAGAAAATTGTGATTTGTTTGGTTTTTAACTTATTGAATTATTTATTAGATTTTAATGTCTATTTTGCCTTTTTTTTTTCTTTCCTTGGTTTTAGATTAAAAAAAAGTTAATATTGTATTAACTTAAATTTTTTATTTTTTTTTTTAAACACCATTTCAGTTATATTTTTCTTTTTTATTTATAAGATAAAAGTGTTATTATTATTATTATTAGTAGTTTATAATTTTAAACTTTTAAATAAGTTCAAAGGCCTCATAATTGGACTCGGCCGAGCACCAGCGGTCATGGGATAATTACTGGCATTTTAAAGTACCCGCTCCTGCTCTCTGCAAGTCTTGCGACCTGCATTCTCTGCGAAAATTCATGTTCATGAATTAATTTGTCCACTATAACTTAGATCTTACCAGACAAGAGACTAAGAGCTTAATCATATGCAAGTATATCCTGAATCTGCTACAATTTGCATTTCCAATTTTGCAGGTTATACAACTTGTAAATTGAGATTTTTTCACATCCTTTGGAAATTCAATCGTCCTATATGATATACACGGAGTGAAGCGAGAACCAACGGGAACAACACAAGAACAATGGCTGCAATGGGTTTGGCGATCATGGTGAAATCCGAATTAATCTTCTAAGAAGGTAGCTACTGATTTGGCTTTCCCAAACACCACAATCTCCTTATATCACCATACTGAGGAGCTATCAACCCATTCAATGTCCACGATGTAGGAGTAAGACAAACCAACAAAATCTTGACTCTCTTCGAAATGGATTTAGCATATTCAACTTATTCTAGCTGGTTAATTTGATAATTTGGGTCTTTAAAATTACCTAAAACAAAAGAACTATCCGAGATTATAGCACAAGCAATTAGGACTTCGAATCTTATGATGTCCAACAGTAACAAACGCACTTTTTTATTATTGCATAGAAAAAGTCAGTTCCTTCAATCAAAATTAATTAATCTCGAAATAAATTTAAATTTTCTTACTATTGCACAGAATGAACAGTTTATCCATAGAAGCTGTACATATGATATTAGTTTCTATTGGCAATCAAATGAAAGAAAAATTTTCTTTTCATTCAAATGCATCGATCTGATGCCATTAATTAATTTTTAAGATTAAAGTTTAAACAGTATAAAACCTGAAAAAATCGACTTAAAATGATTAAAATACATATTTTCCTTCCTTAACATCATTAAAGATCATCATATATGTAGATAAACATATATTACCAATAAAAAAAAATATGTCAAAATATTGATAGGATTATATAAATACACACTTTAAATCGGAGTAATCAAAAGAAACATCCATCCATGAGTCTTGATTATAAAACTGATATTGAAAGCATTAATTGTTTATATTGATCAGCTACATGTTACATTCGTATGCTTTAGAAGAAAAAAGAGGTTCACCTCCTTTGACAATCCAATCAGCCTATACAATATGCAAAGAGTGAAGCGAAAACTAAAGGGAACAACGCAAGAACAACAGCTGTAATGGGTGAGTGGTCGTGGCGAAACCCAAATTGATCTTCTAAGAAGGCAGCTACAGATTTGGTTTCTCCAAACACCAAAATCTCCTTCTCTATGTCACCATACTGAGAAGTGAGCAACCCATTTAATGTCCATGATGTAGGAGCCAGATAATGCAACCAAAGCCACCACTTGGGAATTTGCTGCATTAATTTACAACTTGAACTTCTAGATAGTGTTCATAAATTTCAGCAATATGACTTTCCTAGATATTAAAGAATAACTTACTGGTTGAGGAATTAAAAACCCAGCAAAGAGATTAAAAATTGTATAAAAAGGATCTGAACAGATACAACAAATTTTGAGCCATGCCAACAAACTCAGATACAGAAGAAACAGAGACCATAGGTTTTTACCTTCATGTAAGCATCTGTCTGGATCTGGAACTATTCCTTTTTCGTTCTCTCTTCTACTTTATCTCCATCATGATGTCTTCACAGAGAAAAAAAATTTTATTACTTCCATGAATTGATTAATTGACCACAGGTAAATCACCATAAACGTTATACTCTACGAAAAACCATCTGTTCGGCTTCCAAGCCCCTGACAACGAGCTGAGAAGTCAAGTGTTACCCTCACAGTCATCTCAGCAACTTGCAGGTCATATTGACTTATATAGGCAGAAGTTTCTGGGGAACAAACTCCTCTAGCATGTAGCCATTGTAAGAGATTTCACCCGTGAACTGTTTAAGAACATAGATCAAGTTACAATTAGCACCATAAAGGTCACTAGGGGCAACTAAATAAATACCCAAAAACTTTAGAGCTACATAAAATTTTCCCTTATTAGTACAATATATGGATAGATATTTATATTGATACCTATTTCAGAACTACAAAATGCAAAAGTTGGAAAATTAGTCCTCATTTAAGATTCCAGTTAAAAATTGGATATATTCTTTCATTGATAAAACTTGGATAAAGCTTAAAGTTCACATAAAAGACATGAAACACTATTTGATTAGAAAGAAGGTGATATTTTCAGCTAATCCTTCATTATCCATATGCATGTCAGAACGCAATTTGTAGCTTCATACTCATGAATGAAGTCTGAATGTTCTGAACCTTGAGGGACTTGTCTAGATTTCCTGACAGAGGCTTTAAAAGAGAAGTCTTTCCACATCCAGGGGGGCCAAGCAATAGTCATCCTGCAGTTAAACCTGATTAGCTGTCGTTTTCACATTTCTATTACCGAAAGAGGAAAATTGTCAGTGCTTGAGATATCATCATAGGAAGAATAGGATAAATAATTGCTTTTTTGTTGTTTTCTTGTTAATATAACCATTAAGAGTATTAGGGAATCTAACTGCTCTATACTGGGTAATTGCTAGGATAACAGTTGTTGGGTCCCAAGGAAGATTAGTTATTTCCCAATAGTTCTAATAGGCAACATTACTGTAAGGAAGATCATATTCAAGAAGATAATCTCTCTGAACTGTCCTCTCTACTCTCTTATCCGCTTCTACCCTAACCAACTCTTTCTCTTAACCTAACCAAGCTTGGTATCTTGCTCCATCATGAAACTGGAAAAAAGCAAAGGAGAAGCAGCAATAATGGATTTTCGCAGCTCTCAGAGATGGAAGACTCGTTCTGAAACATAGACTAGCGTCTTTAAGAGTTTATAACTAAGGTTAAAGAAATAATAGACATTAGGCTGGATGCCAAACTCGACAATAAACTAGAAACTAAGCTAGTGGAAAACAACACCCATCTGCAGATAATTTTCACCAAGACAATACGCTTGATGATGGCTGCACAGCATGCGATGCCTACCACCTGTCCACCTCAAACAAATCTCTAGACCCACTTGGACAGACAAGGAGCATTGTCTAGTGTCCCTTCTCTCACAGGGGAATACTTCCTACTACTGAAACTAAAGGAGAGTAAAATAAAAATAAACTCAGAAGAGAAGAGAAGAAAAATAGATATTGATCTGAATTAGAAATTTTGAATTTTCCGCTAACAAG